CATCGGGTGCAGACTTGGCCACGTAATCCGTGCCGATATTGGTGGCCGCGCCTGGCTTGTATTCGACCAGTACCGGTTTGCCCATCGAGTCCTGCAGTTTCAGTGCAATTGCACGCGCAAAAATATCGGAGGTGCCACCAGGGGTTGCTGGAACGATGATGCGGATGGGCTTCGCGGGATAGGCCTGGGCAAGCGCAAGCTGCGGCAGTGCGGACACACCCATCATCGAGGCAAGGGCAAACAAGAAATGACGACGCATAAATACTCCTGTAAAACAAAACAACGTGTGCAAGGTAATAGCAGTTCCCGTGCCTGCATGGTTGTCAGGACAAACCCCACGCACGCCTGACTCAGCACTTCCAGAGGAGAAACTGCGTATAAGGCAACCTCGCAGTTCTGCTTTGATCGATATCAATTGTGTGTGTCAAAGGTATTTCTTTAAAATGATATTATTTTCTTATTCCATACTATTAAGGGTATATCAAAATGGAGTGGACACAGCGCCTGAGAATGCGCCAGCTTTACCTGCTGGTCGCCCTGTACGAGACACGCAATGTCAGTCACACGGCAACGCAAATGGGCGTGACACAACCGGGCCTGTCGAAGTGGCTGAGCGAGCTTGAAGAAGACCTGAACGTCAAGCTCTTCAAGCGCAACTCGCGCGGCCTGACACCCACGGAGTTCTGCACGGCCCTGGTATCGCACGCAAGGGCCATCATTGGCGAACTGGACCGCACGCAGGCCACGATAAGGCTGATGTCGATAGGCGCATCCGGCAACCTGGTGGTGGGTACCACCCCGACGGTGGCAACAGGCCTGGTGCCCAAGGCTGCAGGCTACTTTCGCAAGCGCTTTCCGGATGCCTACCTCAACATCATTGAGAACCGTCTTGATGCGCTGCTGCCGCAACTCGAGGAAGGTCGTGTCGACCTCGTCATTACGCGTACCGACCAGGCCAGGCTGGACGCCGGGGTTCGCTGCGACATCCTTCATCCAGAACAGATTCGTGTCGTCGTGGGTGCGAACCATCCACTGGCGAAGAAGCGCAAGGTGGACTGGCCTGACGTAT